CCAGAGAGGTTAAGAATGTGTGCAAGTTTACACAGCCAGCCGTCAGCCAAGGTGTGCCTGCTGACATGGGACTGACTCTTAGACTGTGGGATGTGCAGGAGCTCTTAGTGATACTAATGTGTATTGTGGTGATGCTGGGTTTTTTTATTTTTTTATTTTATTTTTTTATTTTTTATTTTTTTTTAATTTTTTTTCAACGTTTATTTATTTTTGGGACAGAGAGAGACAGAGCATGAACGGGCGAGGGGCAGAGAGAGAGGGAGACACAGAATCGGAAACAGGCTCCAGGCTCTGAGCCATCAGCCCAGAGCCTGACGCAGGGCTCGAACTCCCGGACCGCGAGATCGTGACCTGGCTGAAGTCGGACGCTTAACCGACTGCACCACCCAGGCGCCCAGATGCTGTTTATTTTTAATGTTAACACTCAGTTGTTTTGAAAGGTGCAAATTACTCAACTGAACAAACTTTTAATACCTACTGTCTGGGAGTTCCCAGGGGGATACTACAAAATGATAGACAATGTTATAATAACAAGGTTACAGTAACTCACACTGAGGTAGCAACAATAAGACATGTATTCAGATAATCATAACCCAGAGAATGTTCCAGAAGAATACTATGAATGCTCTAGGAACGCGGAGAGGAAACATGATTTTTGGCATGGTAAGGGCTGGTGGAAGCAGCAATTCAGGTCTGATAGAACTTCCTGGAAGCGTTCCGGGCTGACAATGGAGTCGGTGGAGGAGATGGCGGGGTGGGGGCGGGGGAAACATGGCTGTCGGAGGGATTAGCGCTAGCAAAGGCAGTGAGGCCAGAAAGCAGAGGGTGTTGGCAAGGCCAGCTGATGAGTGAGGCTGTTTGGAGCTTAAGTGGGAGAAATTTAGGTAAGATTGGGAAATAGAGATGGATCGGATCACTAGGGAGTTAAGGATTTCAAGTTATATTGTATCAAAAGAAAGTTTTGGATCAAGAGAGTGGTGACGGGATACATAAATGTTTGTTGGGGCAAACAAAGTCGTGACCAGGACCAACTTTATGGAAAGGTGGAATGTACCTAAACAGCAGGTAACATCTGCAAAGACCCTCAAAGGATACCATAGATAGAGCACACACATCTACACCTGTGTCTGACCAGCGCTGACCAGCACACCTGTCTCCAAATCCCCCCACCAACCTGACACCATAGCTGGATTCCAACCCTGAGCGCTCAGCAAGACAAAGGTTTGAATATCAAGAAGGCCTCAATTAAACTGCATACAGTTGCTTGGGAAGGCAGGTAAGACAGGAGCCATGAACACATGAATAAGGATACTAATGATATCTGCTAACATTTATTAATCACTTACTCTTTGTGGGGGCACTGTTCTTGGTGTGTTACAAAGTCTATCTCGTTTTGTCTTTCTCATAATCCTTTGCAGTAGGTACGATTGTTATCCCATTTACCAAGGAGAAAATCAAGCCCAGACAATCTGTATGAGTAGCAAATGGTAGAGCTGCAATTCAGTCCTGGGGGTTTAACTGCCATATAGGTTTATCAGAATACTTGGCCATTAACTGTCAACTAGTAATGGAAGCAGGACCAGGAGGCAAGTGACACAGGCAGGCACATTTTGAAAGGACACAGACAGAAAGTCCAGAATAAGATGACACTTTGAAGGGAGGTTTGATGTCAGAGAGCAGCAGGGAGCCTGGGCTGTCTTATCACATGCAGTGTGCATGCAGCATGTGGGCATATAAACTTACGCCAAGGTCACAGACCTTCTGGACTCTGAATTCAGGGGGCGGAGCCACATTAGTGTTAGTCATTGCTGCATTCTCAGTGTCTTGCTCTGATCAACAAGTCTTGGGGTGAAATTTTATTTGGTCTAGTTCAATTGGATATTTTTTTTCTTAAAAATCTAGCTGGCAGGGACGCACAAGACCCAATGTATGCAGTCTCACAAGAGACTCACTTCAGCTTTAATGACAGGCTCGAAGTGAAGGTGTGGAAAAAGATATTTCACATAAGTGGAAATCAAAGGGGAACAGGGAGGGCTATATGTATATCAGACAAAATAGAGTTTGGCTCAAAAATCATAACAAGAGGCAAAGAAGTTCTTTATATACTGATAAAGGGGTCAATTCATCAGGAATATTTAACAATAATAAATATAGATGCATCCTGGGGCACCTGGCTGGTTCAGTTGCAAGAGTACGTGACTCTTGATCTCGGGGTTCAAGCCCTGTGTTGGGTGGAGAGATTACTAAACAAAACAAACAAACAAATATATATGCGTCTAGCATCAAAGCATGTAGATATATTAAGCAAATACTAACAGATCTGAAGGCAGAAATAGATTACAATATGATAAAAGTAGGGATGTTAATACTCCACTTTCCACACAGATAGATCATTCAGACAGAAAATAAATAAGGAAACTTTAGACTTGAACTATACTTTAGATCAAATGGACCTAACAGACCTATATAGAACATTCCATCCAACAGGAGAATGCACATTCTTCTCAAGTACACACAGAACATTCTCCAGGATAGATCATATATTAGGTGTCAAGTCTTAGCAAATTTAAGAAGATTGAAATCACACCAAGTAGCTTTCCAACCACAACTGTACAAAACTAGGAATTGATAACAGGTGAAAAACTGAAAAATCTACAAGTATGTGGAGATTAAACAACAGGCTTCTGAACAACCAATGGGTCAAAAAAGAAATCAACTGGGAAATTTAAAAAATGTTGAAACACAAAAATGGAAACACAACATAACCAAAACTTTTGGGATACAGATAAAGCAGTTCTGAGGAATTTTATAGTGATAATTGCCTACATTAAGAAAAGGAAAAATTTAAATAAGCAACCTAACTTTATACCTTAGGGAACTAAAAAAACAAATGGAGCCCAAAGTTAGAAGAAGGAAGGAAATAATAAAGATCAGATCAGAAATCAATGAAACGGAGTCCAGAAAAACAATAGAAAAGATCAATGAGGGGCGCCTGGGTGGCGCAGTCGGTTAAGCGGCCGACTTCAGCCAGGTCACGATCTCGCAGTCCGTGAGTTCGAGCCCCGCGTCGGGCTCTGGGCTGATGGCTCAGAGCCTGGAGCCTGTTTCCGATTCTGTGTCTCCCTCTCTCTCTGCCCCTCCCCCGTTCACGCTCTGTCTCTCTCTGTCCCAAAAATAAATAAAAAACGTTGAAAAAAAATTAAAAAAAAAAAAAAAGATCAATGAAGCCAAGAGCTGGTGTTTCTTTTTTTTTTTTTTTTTTAAGTTTATTTATTTATTTTGAGAGAGACTGTAAGTGCAGAAAATGAGAGACAGAGTCCTAAGCAGGCTCTGCGATGTCAGTGCAGAGTCTGACACAGGGCTCAATCTCACAAATGGTCAGATCATGACCTGAGCCGAGATTAAGAGCTGGACACCTAACCGACTGAGCCAACCAGGTGCCTCTAAGCTGGTTTTTTGAAAAGACAACAAAACTGACAAACATTTACCTAGACTTACCAAGAATAAAAAGGGCAAGGACTCAAATAAATTATAAACGACAGAAGTGATATTACAACTGATACCACAGAATTAAAAATGATCTTAAGAGACTATTATGACCAATTCTATGCTAGTAAATTGGACAACCTACAAGTAATGGATGAAAGTCCGAGAAGCACAGAACCTACCAAGCTGAGCTCAGGATGTAGCCGTGGAGAGGCCAGAGGACCAGCCTCCAAAGCAGCAGCCAGAGTGGAGGCCCCTCTTGCCCTGCCTTGGGCAGTGTTGTTCCCCGCACTTTTCTTGAAGGATGGGCTGGCAGATGGAATGATCCGCTGAAAGATGAATGGAGAACAGTGAAAGTAAGATATGGCCTGGGGGAACCAACGAGACGTGCTTCTCAAGTTGAGGTTGCGGGATCCACAGCGTCACTAAGAGACTCTCTAGGAAGATTCGGACACTGTCTAAACAGACCCTCCAGATGATTGTGGTGGCAGATGTGTGAGAGCCATGGAACTGAGGCCCCGCCTTGTCACAGCAGTCCTGAAGACAGCATCCTTGCAGATGGGCCCATCCACACCTGTTTGCTGGCCCCATTGGGTCCTCAACATCAGGGGAAGCCAGGCCTCCCTCCCATTGGTAGCCCAACAAGAAGTGAAAGCTAGCCATTCATTATGGATTGTTCTTTCTCCAGCTGGATTGCCTGCCATTGGATGCAGGAAGTTCCTTTGAAAAAGCTTCTTCTCAGGCAGGATTTCCCCTAGAATCAGAAATCAAGCTAACCGTGTTGATAGGCAGGTAAAAAAGATGAACTTCCCACTCTAGTGCATTTCATTTACCTTCATCTTTTCTGTATTAGTTCTCTCTTGAATTACCTCTGCAAAGGGAAGTTCAAGAGTCAGACTCTCTCCCCAGCATTGAGGATATTCTTTGTTGCTTTCTTTTTTTTATGCTTCTTTATTTTTGAGAGAGAGAGAGGGAGAGAGAGAGAGAGAGAGAGAGAGAGAGAGAGAGCAAGCAGGGGAGGGGCAGAGAGAGAGGGAGACACAGAATTCAAAGGAGGCTCCGGGCTCTGAGGTGTCAGCACAGAGCCCGATGTGGGGCTTGAACTCACGAACTGCAAGATCATGAAGCTGAAGTCAGACACTTAATCTCACAGGTGCACCTAAAAAAAAAAAAATTTCTTTTTAATGGAGGATATTCTTCACTTCTGAAATGGGAGTTTTGCTTTCGTATGCTAATGCTGAGGTCAGTCATAGAGATTCAGGTTTAAAAATTTAAATTAGTTTTTAAGTCTCCCTAATAAAACAATAATAATTCTCTAAATATCTGTTGATGAAAACACAATACACTTCTGGCACAAAAGATGAATTTTTTATTATGTGTCTTAAGTTACAAATCAGGAATGATATAATTCAAATATATTTAGCTGTTTGTGTTAAAAAAAAAAGCCACGTAATAACAAAAACTAGTATAGATTGAAATAACCCTTATACTTTGTATTTTCTTAATTATGACAGCTTCTACATTTGTTCAAGATGTACGAGAAGGGGATCGTTTATTCAGTCTGGACAATGAGTCTAGAATTCTCTTTCATCATCTGTGATTCGCTGGAAGCCAAGTTCCACAGATCTGTTTGCTGCTCTATCCAGTCTTTTCCAATTATCAAATAAGTCACCTCCTCCATGGTATCTTGTCCTCCCAAGGGAAGCACGGGTTACTGGGAAAAGGGGCTTGTCATGGTTGCCATCTGTTAGGGGCTGAATTGTGCCCCCACCACCCCCTTTGCACACTGAAGCCCTAACCCCCAGGACCTCAGAGTGTGAATGTATATGGAGTTAGAGTCTTTCGAGAGGTGATTAAGTTAACATGAGGCCACATGGGTGGGCCCTAAATCCAATCTGACTGTGCCCTTGTAAGAAGAGGTCAAGACACAGACATGCACAGAGAGAAGACCGTATGCAGACACGGGGGAAGGTGGCCGTCTACAAGCCAGTGAGGGAGACCGCCGAAGAAACTAAGCCTGTCCACACCTTGATCTCGGACTTGCCAACCCCTGGAATCATAAGAAAATAAATGTCTGTCATTTCAGCCACCCCAGCCTGGGGTCCTTTGTCATGGCAGCCTGAGAAGACTCACCCATACCCCATCTGATCTGCTCCCTCCGGCCGTCTTTGTCTGGGAGAGCCAGGGCTGTAGGCTTCTTGGGTTTTCCTACGTGCTCGCTCATCCCCACATCTGATTTATGAGCCTTGTCTTCTTTGGTGCTTATAGCAGCTACTCCTTGGAATTCTTTGCTGTTTGGATAAGCACAGCCTGCCCATTCCCCTACATGCTAAATAAAAATGTGGTGGTTGACAAGCAGTCCCTGGCACCCCCTTCCTCTCAACCCCTGCTCGGACCTTCCTTGGGCACCATATGCTGTTAGTGGTGGCTTATTTTGTGTGTTGTCCTTTGGTCTCTTGATTGTCTTTCTTTCTTTCTTTCTTTCTTTCTTTCTTTCTTTCTTTCTTTCATGTTTATTTTTAAGAGAGACAAACTGTGAGTGGGGGAGGGGACAGAGAGAGAGGGAGACACAGAATCCTAAGAAGCTCTGAGCTGTCAGCACAGAGCCTGATGCAGGGCTCGAACCCACGAACCACGAGATCATAACCTGCCTCAGTCAAACGCTTAACCGACTGAGCCATCCAGGCACCCCATTTCTCTTTGTTTCTCATCTGAGCCCACAGGGCGGTATCTCCATGTCTAGTGGTGTCCCAGCTGTCCTTCAGCTTGTGGGATGAAATAAGAACGCCCTGTGCCATGAAAACAGAGTGCTGAGTCTCCCATCGTGGTCTGTTGGACACATACACGCACCAGCACACATGTGCAAAGCGTTTCAGTTATGATTTGTGGACCTACCTGCCTCCGTTCCATGACACACAGAATTCTCCTCGGACAGGACGCCTGGTATTTGTGGGTGTACAACCGTTTCTTTTTTGAAAGGATGGAGGGGTATACACTCATCAGGAATGGAAGTTGATAGAAGGAAAACTATAATTTCCATAGAATGGAACTAGAATTCCAACTAGAATTTAAACATAACCAAACTTTCCTACCCAAAGGGTAGGATTTACCTCTGGACACAAAACTTTGTAAGTAAACCAGATCATTTAAAGTCATTCTTGGAGGGGCTCCTGGGTGGCTCAGTCGGTTGAGTGTTCGATTTCAGTTCAGGTCATGATCTCACAGTTTGTGGTTTCGAGCCACGTGTCAGGCTCTGTGCTGACAGCTCAGAGCCTGGAGCCTGCTTTGGATTCTGTATCTCCCTCTCTCTCTGCCCCTCCCCCACTCATGCTCTGTCTCTGTCTCTGTCTCTCTCTCTCGAAAATAAACATTAAATAATAAAAAATTTAAAAAAATAAAATCACTCTGGGAACAGGCTTACTCTACACACTTTGGTTTTGAATGCAACATTGGTTTTGATTCTTCACCCTGGTCTCCCTTCACGGAGCCACAATCAGATTCATTTACAGTATCCGGGATCAACTGTTTCCTCCCAGGTCACACAGGAGAACAAGACAGTTTGTGACTCCTCTCATGCTAAGCGGCAAAGAGGTTTGCTGTGTGGCTGGAGGTGAGGAGAGGAAGTTTGGGTGGAGGCCTTTCTAGAGACATATGTTGCAGGTGGAAGCAGGGAGGTCATGAGGAGCTGCCTCTCGACACCTGGGGCCCTGGTGATGCTGCTTTGGGGGCACAGATGGCATAATCCCGTCCCCAAAGACAAGGGAAGCCATTCCTGTCCCTACCAGGAGCACAGGGTATGTGACATGGGAGCACAGTGAAGATGCTGTCGTGCACTTTCTGGGCAGGATGAACAGAATGGAGTTCATCCACCGTCCACACGGGACAGCCCTGGTCTGGCCACTGCAGGGCGAGGCTGCGAGGTAGGGCAGAGGCATGGCTCCTGAAGTGTGGGTCCTGATGCCCACCAGCCCTCCTTCTTCACCCCAGCCCACCAGGCCTCGGGACCCTTCCCTTCCACAAAAGATATGGTTTTGCTTTTCAGGAAAGGCAAGTAGTCATAGAGATTTGTATGATAAGGCCACATGATATCATCACAAGGTGAGTGCATCTCAGATATGATCTGTGATCTCCCCCCATTTCGCTTTCCTCCCATGCCTTCCCTGTGGGTCCCTTCCCTCGTCGTTCATGATGAGGTCTTCTGCTCCTCTTAACCCCTCTCCCTTCCTTCCTTCCTTCCTTCCTTCCTTCCTTCCTTCCTTCCTCCTTTCCTCCCTCCCTCCCTCCCTCCCTCCCTCCCTCTTTCTTTGTTTCTTGAAAGAGACAGAGAGAGCAAGTGCACAGGGGGCAGAGGGAGAGAGAGAATCCCAATCAGGCTCCACACTCAGTGCAGAGTATGACTCGGAGTTTGATCCCATGACCCTGGGATCATGACCTGAGCTGAAATCACGAGTTGGACGCTCAACTGACTGAGCCACCCAGGTGCCCCTCAGCCCCTATTTCACTTCTTTTCCCCACCACTCAGTTTAGTACTTATTTCTCTTATGGTCTCATGTCTTAGTTTCGTTTACTCAGCTAGATCAGAGTGAGTTCTTTGGGGATGGGGACCTGGTCTCCTTATTTGTTGTTGTTGTTTTTTCAATTCCAGAAACATCTACCACATTCTGAGTATACACGGCTGGTGTTCAAGAATTGTTAACTGAATGAATGGCTTAGAAAACAGGATAGTTTTTGACAGAAAATTTCCTGGAGGCAGTAAAGCAGAACTTTTCCTTCTAGCCCACTACAGCTGCCCGTGGTACTGACACCTCTCTGCTGTTTTCAAAAGATGTGCCCTTTTGTCCTTTGAATGTAGAGTCTGCACCCTTTGTAAAGATCCTAACTGCTTAATTTCAGAGACAGTCTCTGAGAACTGTCAACTCAGCTTAGGTTAGAGGTCCATTTAGAATTCTGTGCCCAGGGATGCTGGGTGGCTCAGTTGGTTAAGTGGCAGATGTTGGCTCAAGTCATGATCCCAGAGTTCGTGGGTTTGAGCCCCTCATCAGGCTACTGTGCTGTCACTGTGGAGGCTACTTTGTATCCTGTCTCCCTCTTTCTCTGCCCCTCCCCCACTCATGCTCTCCCTCTTTCTCAAAATTAAATAAGCATTAAAAAATAAAAGAATTCTGTGCCCAATCTGAGTCCCGGGAACATGTCTTTTTCTTGCACACGGTGGGCACTCAAAGTTTGTTCAATGAACATAAATAAATGAAGAGAAAATAATAAAGAGAGAAAACTCTCTTATTTGAGTAAAAGAATGGATTGGTAGTATTTTCACACCTATCACGTGCATGGTTGGGTTGAATTATTTTATGTGTAGGACCCACGGGAAGGGAAAAACAGCACAGGATTGCCTCCAAGCTCATCTCTGTCCTATTGAAGAGGAGGCGGTCTCCATGGGCCCCTCACCATCACCATGGTGGATCTCTATTTCCCTCTGGTGGCAGATCTGTGTACTGCAATCGGTATTTCTGAGGCTCAGGTGAGGTTAGATTTGAACAGAAGCTTGAAGAAACGGGAAGCTTGAAGGGCCCCTAGAGGTTTTTGATTCCAGTATTTCTCCAGCGGGAGAATCCTGACTGACGCTGAAAAGCCTTCGAATTCTTTACAAGATCAGCACTTGGCTTGAATTTCGGTGATAATCTAAAAGATAAGCATATTCTGGGTTCTGTGGATGATTACTTTCTAATCATGCACGGTCGTGCGGTTCTGTTTTCTCATTTGTGCTTAGATTTAGGGTTAGTCTGGTGCCAGGAATTACGACTTCCACCTGCCAAGGGAGGCGCAGTGTGCCGCAGTTTGAGAACCGCATGCGGCACACCACAGTGGAAGCAAGCCCCGAGCTGCTCAAGCCTGCAATGCCCGGGGGCACACTCCCAGGTGAGGCCCCTATTCTTTTAGAACCCTGATTTTCTCTCTCCTACTGGTTTTGCCAGCGGAGTACTCCGACTTGTAGTGTTGCTATTGCTTACTGAATTTTTTATTTTTTCCTGGAATGTGCTTTGGTGATACTCAAGAGCTAGCTACGAGCCCAAATGGCTGACCCCATATTTTATACTTGTGTATATTTATGTTATTACAGCAAAAAAGAAGCAATCCTACCATGGAGGTCTGAAAATTTTCCCATCAGTTATTTTTATTATTTTAAGTAGGCTCCGTGCCCACCGTGGGGCTCACACCCACAGCCCTGAGAGCAAGAGTTGCATGCTCCACTGACTAAGCCAGCCGGCGCCCTGCAGATTTTCCCTTTAAAAGTGGTCCAGATGCACTAGGTATTTATCCAAGGGATACAGGTGTGCCGTTTCGAGGGGTACATGCACCCCAATGTTTATAGCAGCACTATTGACAATAGCCAAAGTACAGAAAAAGCCCAAATGTCCATCGACAGATGAATGGATAAAGAAGATGTGGTTTATAGATACAATGGAGTATTACTCGGTGATCAAAAAGAATGAAATCTTGCCATTTGCAGCAACATGGGTGGAACTAGAGGGTATTATGCTAAGTGAATTAAATCAGAGAAAGACAAATATCATATGACTTCACTTATGTGTGGAATTTAAGATACAAAACAGATGAACAGAAGGGAAGCAAAAATAATATATAAAAAGAGGGAGGGGGCAAAACATAAGAGACTCTTAAATACAGAGGACAAACTGAGGGTCACTGGAGGGGTTGTGGGAGGGGGGATGGGCCAAATGGGCCAGGGGCATGAAGGAGGATACTTGTTGGGATGAGCACTGGGTGTTATATGTAGGGGATGAATCACTGGATTCTACTCCTGAAATCATTATTGCACTATATGCTAACTTGGAGGTAAATTAAAAACAAATAGATAAATAAATTACTAAACAGAAAAAAAAAAGTGGTCCAGATGCTACACAGGTTGAGATGATACAGCTGAGGCCCAGAGGAGTGACATTTTCCGAGAATCGCGTGGGTAGTTGGTGGTAGAGGCAGAAACGCACACGAGAGATCAGGCTTTCAGATGCTCAGTCCTGTGTTATCTGGATTAACCCCAATTATCTGGATTAAAAAAAAATCTATTTTGATATGGATACACTCTGTGGTTTGCTTCACTTGGTCAGTGGAGACCCGATCTGTAATCACTTAAAAATAATACACACTGGGTATGTTACCCTTTTCTATGGTGATTCAAGTCAAAAAAGTGGGTTTCACACCATTCATAGCATTTTACCCAGCACCATAAAACACATGGCATGCGATTCTTTCCCAAGAACAGTTTGTAATTAAATTTGGAGGAAAGACATACGGGCATCCTTTAAATGATTAGCGATACTGCAGCTGAGGAAAGAAGCAAATGAGTGCCACACTGTCAACTTTTCTCCCATTTGCTGTGTGTC